GGGGGGGGGGGGGGGGGGGGGGGGTGGGGAAGCTACACAGTTTACATACAAAAGGAAACCCATCTGTGGTGGCAAAACTGAACGCTCAATAATGAAAAAAAATAGGATGGACTACCACAACAATTGCAGTATGACAATGATAACATGTGTTGAAAGGAAGTACAACCCTGATCCAGATCAAGCTCAGATAGGATCCTTGCTTGTTGAATATCAATGACGGCCGCATTTTCATGTTCCTTCTTCATCTAGTCAATGTTTCAATGATTTTTTTTTAAATGGATCGACCCAACTCTTGTCCTCTGCTACCGCTTTGTTCCATCGATTTTTGAAGATTTGAAGTTCCCATGTCGATTGCCTCCTTATCTGCTCAAGTTCATATCAAGCATCAACACTAAATGAGTTCAAGTTCGAACAAATAAAGATCAATATGGTCAGCACACAATGCAACCAACCCCATTGCGAAATAAGCGATTATATGTGATAAAAAAGTGATTGTGTATGTATTGGAACTGGAAATGAGAAGGTAATCTTGGTTCTGATAAGTGACGGACGAAAAGTCTAACCTCTGTTCGAACATCAGCTGGTGGCAGGCTAGGTTTCTGAGTCAAACAAAAAAAAAGTACGAGATTTAAATAAGATTTCAATAGACAAGCATCACGGACATAAAGAAATTTTCAATGGTTACCTTTGCGAACTCTGCAGCTTTCAAAGAAGGCCTAGACTGTAAAATGAAGAGGAAAATTTAATGGCGGAAGAGTGAAATTAAGCACATCGAGAACACCAATGATGTGCTACAGACTACACAAATCATACAATGGAAAAAAAAGTGAGCAATGCAAATTACCTTGCCTCCACCTCCACCCAAAGTCTGTATGCCCTTGTGAACAATATACTGACTATCAATTACTCCCACCTTCTTGGTGCGATCACCCTGCAGAACAAGTTACTTAAGCACATTTCAAAATGAAAGATGAAATTATAAAGGAGATGGCAGTTTCTTAAGTCGCCTAGTTGTTCATTTTAAGCAGTGTCAGCCTTCTCAGTGAAACAACAGGAAAAGCTTGTATAGTCTTCCAGTAGAGAAGGGCCTTCATTATCAGTGAAGGGCAGAGTTTGGTTCTTTCCTTTGCTAATATATTTTCAATTTTGATATCCAAGTTACCATCAGCACATGTAATTTTGAAACAAGGATAGAAAATTCCGATGCCAGTTGGAAACAATGAGTTGATAAAGGTTTGAATCGGGTTGTGAGGTTAGCTATTACATAAGAAATGATCAATATATGGAAGCCTTACCTGTGCACAATAGCCAAGTTTCATATCCATTCCCCATCCATGAACAAGATCATTCTGGACGAAAGAAATAACGTGTTAAATGAAATGAGGGTTGTGTGGAAGGAAGAGAGAGAAGGTGTAGCTCTCAAATGGTGAATTAGATTAGGAGAACTACCTGTATAAGATGCCAAGCACAATACCAGGCTGATCTCGAGAATACAGGGGCCATACCTTCTACAAATCTAGAAAAGTAGTAATATTTTAGAAGTTAGTTCATTTGCCCATACGGATAGCGAACAGAGACAAAACTCATGCTTGTCATTGTATTTGGTAAATTTCTTGTTTTAATTTGATTAACATCACAAACTTGGATTGTTTTTGCTTGATGCACCACAATATTTGTTTAAATACAGTAAAAAAGGAATGTAATATGTTATATCATAATAGATGAAACAAGAAGATTAAGTGCATCCACACAATCACTTACCCAGTGCAAGGTGGCCCCTCACTTTTATCTGTACATTTCGTACTACCTCTGAGATCATAAACCCTTCTGCATGGACTACTAAATGTTAGATGAACAATTGACGTGGATTAAGTAGTGTTTCATGAAGTACAGTTAAAATATCTGTTTTACCTGTGTATCTTCTTTGTTCGTGCACGAATGGTAATTCTATGGTGTATATCGGTCGAATTTGGATCCAAGGCGGGCTGAGATATTTCCAGTCCTTCAGACTTTGCAATTTCCAGGTATCTGAAATTTATAAAGTTTTTAGATGAAAAATGAGATATTTCTCCCTAATGTGAGAGACAGACAAATAGCAATGTCTAGTAAGGTTATGTCTTTTATATATATATATATATATATATATAAGAAGCATCAAGCAAGGTTATGCGCTTGTAAATAGTCGTGTGTACTCGGTAGGTAAAGGAACAGCACTACATTGGGGAAAGCTAGGAAAGTGCCAAGTAGAATGTGAAGAGACCAGGCCTCTTGAATGCCTCGGAAGTTAAATTCTTTTCAACGTTAGTTCCGGGGAGATTCCTAAAAGTAAGAATGCTAATAAGTAATAGACAGACATTGTTGTATGCCTTGAGAAAGGTCATGTGAGATCTCATATTAGTTGGAGAGGTAGTTCCAGGGAGATTCCTAAAAGTAAGAATGCTAATAAGTAATAGACAGACATTGTTGTATGCCTTGAGAAAGGTCATGTGAGATCTCATATTAGTTGGAGAGGTAGTTCCAGGGAGATTCCTAAAAGTAAGAATGCTAATAAGTAATAGACAGACATTGTTGTATGCCTTGAGAAAGGTCATGTGAGATCTCATATTAGTTGGAGAGGTAGTTCCAGGGAGATTCCTAAAAGTAAGAATGCTAATAAGTAATAGACAGACATTGTTGTATGCCTTGAGAAAGGTCATGTGAGATCTCATATTAGTTGGAGAGGAGAACGAAGCATTCTTTATAAGGGTGTAGAAATCTCTCCCTAGCAGAAACCTTGAAGGGAAGCCCGAAAGGAAAAACCCAAAGAGGACAATATATGCTAGCGGTGGGCTTGGGCTGTTACAAATGGTATCAGAGCTAGACACCAAACGGTGTGTCAACGAGCACGCTGGGCCCCGAAGAGGTGGATTGTGAGATCCCACATTGATTAGAGAGAGGAACGAGTCCCAGCGAGGACGCTGGCCTTGAAGGGGGTGGATTGTGAGATCCCATATTGGTTGGAGAGGGGAACAAAGCATTCTTCATAAGGGTGTGGAACCTCTCCCTAGCTGACACATGTTAAAAACTTTGAAGGGAAGTTCGAAAGGGAAAACCCAAAAAAGACAATATCTGCTAAAGATGGGCTTGAACTGTTATAGGTCAAGCTTGGAAATAAGAATAGAACATTAATATTGACCCAACTCTAACTCTTCATTTTTGTTTTTTAATCCATGTAAACTTTGAACGTAACATTAACGCTTCAGCGACTTGTTAACAGTGACTACAACCCAGAGAACGAATTCAAATAACAAGGAGAGTATTGATGACTTCTTTAAAAGATGAACAAGCTTATTTTTGTACCTTCTTGGGCTAAAATGTTCGACCCCCAAATCTTCATCCCAAAGAAATATGTAATCATAAATGTACACAACTGCCGGTTGCAAAAATCGTTTTGCATACCACCTGAAGAGAATGACAAAAGACAAGAAACCATTTAAACCAAACAGCAGCCATTCTAAGTCCATCTATGATTGGAGAACCCTTAGCAAGAGAGTGGAAAAAAAAAAAAAGGGAAAAATGCAGATAGACAAACATACCACTTGGTTTGGTTTCGCGCAGCTATATGTATCGCGTCATTACTCCAATCAAGATCCCACCATCCATCCACATTGCCGTCATAATGGAAGAGAATAATTGTGAAATTCTCTGGAAGAAACTGAAATGTATGAACTTAGATATAGAGTAATCCCAATAAATATGGTTAATGTCAAATGATAACAAGATCATACTTTTTGCACAATAGAATCAACGTTGTCCTTTTGTTTGATGCCAACTGGAATTGCAAGTAAATTGCGGTTGCTGTAATCCTCAGCCTGAAATTTATACCAAGCATGTCAAAATAAGTAATTATTAAATCTTTTAGCAACGCTAAAAAAGGCCTTTCTGAAGTCCTAGCAGTATCAAAGTAAGCATCAACTGATAACTACAAGCACACATCCAAGTATAAGCCTTAAGAAACAAAATAGCGATAGAAACCGACCTGTAACCTTGAATTGCTAGTTTCCCAGAGAGGTCTCAACTCCAAATCGGATCTAGCTTCTACTATGCCATGTGGCAAGCCATCCAAGTTTTGATACTCCTCTCCGAGGAGCTAATGGGAAATTTAAAAGAATTTGTTTAGATGGTGATCATTCATTTACAAGGCTCCTTATTCAAGCAAGTAGAGAAATCAACAGAGTATATTGACTACTGAATAAAATTTAAATATTTTAGATCATCACGAGAATTGTAGTTTCAACCCAGGAACAGAAGGCAGGGAGGGAACCAATATGGTCAAACATGAGCAGGAATGACAAAAAAACTTACCCTTGTGTTGTCAAAGGGTTGCAAGGTTGTTTCAATCTGTAGGTAAAAAAAAAAAAAAAAAACATAAATTACAGCTTCAGCTTAAAGACGAAACTGGATTTGTGCACATGTATGATCTATTCCCTACCGATGAGAACCTTAAAGGTGAAATTTTAGCGGGGGGATGAAGTGTATAAAAATATTGTGAGATCCCACATCGGTTGGAAAGGAGAACGAAACATTCTTTATAAGATGTGAAAATCTCTCCCTAGTAGACATGTTTTAAAAACCTTGAAGGGAAGTCCGGAAGGAAAAGCGAGGACAATATCTGCTAGCGGTTGGCTTGAGCCATTACAATTGGTATCAGAGTTAGACAACGGGCGATGTGCCAGCGAGGAGGCTGAGCCCCGAAGGGGAGTGGACACGAGGCAAGATCTCACAAATATTTACTTGAAGTTGAAGATATTAGAAAGCCTTAATTCCCTGGGATATATTACTACAATATCTAAAGACATATCAGATTTCAGATGTCCAAAACAAACTTACTTTTGTCTGTTGATATTGGTAATTTGTAGTTCTGTACACAATGAACAGCATTACAATACAAATAACAGCCATAAATTGTAGCTGCTTCATTCTGAAGTGGCATTTTCCCTGCACAACCATCGTATGCGTAAGAAACTTCAAGAAAATCAAACACTGCATAGGCAAAAGGGCACATCTTATTTGAAAAGTTCAAATCATAATTCCAGTATACTTACCCCATCAGAAAATAGACTCTTTTTTCTGATCAGCATGCCCCATGATTTTGTTGGCTTCATAGGCAGCAAAACCTCCTATCTTGATTACATACAGGCCCCTGTAACTACACATAAAGAATATAAAACCCCATCATCAGTACTCCAAGCAAAAACAATCCCAATACACATAAGGTTCTGAATTTCTTCTTCAATGACATTTGCTTAGCAGAAATATCGCTATTATCTTTTATCTTCCTCTCCCCTTTGTCTCCCTCTGTTGGTTCAGTGAGAAGAGTCTAAAATTTGGTTTGAGTTTTACAGTTCAAGTGGCAAAACATTTCATAAGTAAGATATATGGAAAAAAAAATTCTGGATAAACTTTCATTGAAACAAAGCATGAGAAGCTTGCACCTCCCTTATCCACTTCATATGCATTCAGTGACAGTCCGAGTATAGAAACGAGCAAGCAAAAAACACTGGGGATCCCAGCAATATATTCCCATACGAAATCATAAGCAGCATCAGAGAACGAAAATTCTACATCTTATGATAATACACACAGTTCATTTAAGATGCTAATCTATAAGGATTAAAAAAGGGGAACGGTAGCAGACTCGTATGAATCTTGCGATTTCTCCCATTTTCCACGAATTGTCAACTATCCCAGATAGATGACGAGAAGCTAGTCAGAGATTCAGCAAACATAGGAAAAAGAAAATCTAGAAGAAGAACACAGAGAAGAAAATAGCTCTACCGTATTTCCAGACTCATATTGGAGGAGCGAAGTAACACTTCAGCTTAAAGATATGAACAAAATCATTCGATAATTTCCACAAGATCCGATTCTACCGTTATTGAGGGGAAAAAAATGAAAGAGGAAGCAAACTCAAGAAAACGTAAAGATTAAGCTTGAAGTCCCCATTAGAGACCTAAACTTTGGATCCTTAAGTAGTGCTCCATTCAGAATGGAATCAGAAAAGAGCGCACAATGCAAGGGGACCCCTAATCCAAAAAATGCCCGCCGGGTCCAGATCTTTCCAGAGTGGATTCACATACAAAATACCGAAGAGATTAAAAACTCACCTCCGAGATTCGGCAGTCACAGAGAGCTGTAGAACTCCAGTTGAAGCGTCAAATATAAAGAACAGAAATCCTTGGCTAGACCCAGCAAAGGGTCCCCTCCCCCAATGGATCAAAAACAGTGATGAATCACAGAAAACATGAAAAGGGGGAGGAGAGAAAGTGAGGGGATGAGCAACAAATAAAAACGACAGGGCAACAGAGCGAGAGAGAGAGAGAGAGAGAAAAGACGAAAAAAGAAATGTGGAGAGAAGAAGAACGAAATAGTAGGATGCGGCACGTTTCAAGGGAAGAAGACACTTTCCCATTTTGCACCTTTAACTCTTCTCTGCATGTCATTCCATACCAAAACACATCGCACACACTGCCTGTGCAACCTCACCATCGCCACCACTTTCCCCTCTTCTTTATCTCATCCCATTTCAAAAACCCAATTTGGTAACCAAATTTACCACCCATCTATATTTGCATTCAATATTACCCCTTTCATTCCAATCCATACTACTTCTGAATCAAACCCAGACCACCCAAGTAAATGCAAAACATGAATTCATGTCCGTCTACAAGGATAATCTTTTACTCTTACATATCCAATCTAGATTTCAAACGATTCACATAGATTATTGATGGATCATATCATCATCGCACTGGTTTCCATCTAAAATCCCATTCAAAATTTTAATTTTGGTTTTTTTTTTATAAATATTTATGGTAATTTACTCTAAAATTTACCCATCTATTAATTGTCACCCACTTTTCCCTCCACTCTCAATCTCACTTTCATTATATTATTCCTTATCATATTTGTTTTTTTTTTTAATTTTAAATATTTCCCTTTACCAACTTGTTGAATTTTGCAGTCTTTTTCTTCATATTCCCACACTTTTTCTCTAATTAATTATGCTTTAATTAAACCTCTTATTGTATTGTTTTCTTCAAAATTTTAATTATAAATTAGTTGATCTAATTTCATTAATGACCAACTACTTCACTGCTTCCATATTCTAATATTTATTAAAAGTATTTAACATTTGTAATCAAGCTTGTTTAAAAAATCAAAACTCTTCTAAAAATGGATCATTATACCTAATATAAGAATTAGACAAAACTTTTTCCTATACTATATTTTAATCTTTCTATTTATTAAAATATTTTGTCCAATCAAAAATCATTATTTTCATCTGTACCATTGCATTTTTATATATTATTTAATCAATTTTTCAAATTACTTATTTTGTTTTAAATTCAATATCAAATTCAACCAACATTAATTATAATATAAATTAAAATAAATAAATTAGACCATGAAATAAATAAATTAAAAAAACTATTTCAAATAAGTATAAAAAGAAAATAAAATAATAATTCATAAAAACACTTTGCGTAAGAGAGAAAATTGTCTTGAAATAAACAGAATATACCAAAAATAATTTATCCCATGGAATAAAGAAAAAGTGGAAAAACTTTACCAGCCAACCAAGAAATGACAGCTGGACACCGAATCCTCGACTTCCGGAAGTACCGTCAAAAGCAATATTATTATAATTATTTAAATATTATATTTTAATTTTTTTTATTATTATATTATCGTGACATCAGAGCCCATCGGACCATCGTATATAAATATAATATTCCGCGACTAAATCCAACATTATTAGAAAATAAACCATAAAGTCTGGAATTAATTACACGATTAATTATTAATTTAACAAAGATACTGTCGGTGATAATTATTATAATTAATTAACTTATTCGTAAATACACTATAACCGACCCTTTACAGCACCGCCGTCATGATGACTTTCATGTGCCTTCAAAATTAATAATAATAATGAGAATAACGCAAAAGCCCACTTACCAAACATTTTTAAAATGTTATTATTAAATTTATTTAATTGAGATAATATTAATAATATCGCGTAACCTCGTATACCAGCCACGTGGGTGGGTTATGTGATTAGGCACCAATTCTGCCACGTATGCGAATCATGGACCTGGATACTGTGCGGAAATCGTAGCCCTACATTTTTAATTGTTACCTTGTTATTATGCACGTGATCACACCAGATGATGTTGGCTGATTTTTTTTCAGAAAGAGAAAATATTTAACATGTACTCTCTGAAAATACATTTACACTCATAATTAACTTTGGTTTTTTTTAATAATGAAAAATCAATTTAGGGTTATCTAATTTTTTTTTAAATGGTAAGTTTTATCGAGTATTGGAAAATAAATAAGATGCCAATTATGTTTTTAAAAAAATTATATTTTAAATTTGAATACAAAACTTTGTTTTTTTTTTTTTTTTAATTTGAATGCAAAACAATTACACTAATAATTATATCTATTTAAAAAAAATGGTAAGTTTTATCGAGTATTAGGAAAATAAATAAGATTTTTTAAAAAAATTACACTAATAATTATATCTATTTTTTTAAAAAATGGTAAGTAAATCAATTTAGAGTTATCTAATATATTTTTTAATAATAAAATTTTTTACCAAATATAAATTTAATTTAATATATTTAGACTCGAGTATAAATCGATATTTTTAATTTGATTTTTTTTTAAAACTTAAAAATTAGATGACTTATACCTCGGGCGTGCAGGCTTACGGAGGAACAATCCTCGTCCGGAGCTCCGCCGCAACTAGGTTCCAATCGCCAGTACTATGCCGGAATACGGCACCTACTAGAAGCTCTTTCCACGTATCCCACCTCTTTTGTATCACCTCCGCTCCCATCTCCGACAAATTTAAACGTATTAATCAATGAATCGTTAAGGATATTTAGTAATAAATGATAGCTTACCATATATATTATATTTGATATTTTATTATAAAAGTCTTATTAACCGGAAAATTGAGAAAAATAAGGAAATTAGATTTTATATTATTTAAGAAATTTTGGGATAATTATTCTAAGAAATTTTAGGATATTATAAATTCCTGTGAGATGTCACGCCATTGGATTGTATTTTCTTTATAAAAAAAACCTATAATAAATTTGTTAAATATATATTTTTAAAAGTCTTAGAGCTCACAACTTCATAATTAAATTACAAGTCTTGAAATTAGTTAAAACATAAGTTTGGACTCGAAATTTTCCTACATATAAGAATTTCCAAAACTTTGTTTTTTGTTTTCAAAAAATATTTAAACATATTGTTTTTATTTTTTCTAAAAAAAATATTTGAATTCACTCATAAATTTGAAAAAGATCGATCTTATTTTATGAGTTCTTTGATGTTTAAATATTTGAATTTGGGGACTATTTTGCTGAATCTTGATGGCAAACTTCTTGTATTCAGATAAAGTTTCGAGTAAGTCTTAAATGAGCACTTATATTTTATAATTTGATGATCGAGTCGATTCGATTATAAGTTCATTCCATACCGGGCTCAATCGAAATAGGGCTACATTCTAATCATGAGAATGGGTCATCCGAGCGTATTTAAGTAGATATTATGTTATCCCTAGGTCCTTACATTCCATTGAGGAGTAGGAATAAGCTCACGACCGTTTTTTACATATCTATGTAGGACCCTGTACATGTCTATGGATTCTATTGAATAGAGAAATAGGCTTGATTGTCATCTTTTTATATAATAGTAAGGCATCCTTGTGATAATTCGCAGATAACTCATCAAGTTACCATTGAAATAGGATCCACACGAACACTTGCATTAGTTCGGTATTAGGGGCATCCCGAAAACGTCCGAGTCGAAATATGGCTTTCAAATTAAGTTCCAAAATAGTGGGGGCTGGAGTGGCGATGCATACGTAAAAAGTAAAAGGCTCATCGAATGTCAGAGGCAAATAGAGCTTTTGTACATTTACATTTTAGTTAATCCATGAACAAGATTTATATATTACATAGGCCCATGTCATTTGATCCAATAGTGTTCCGTTAGATAGAAATAGATTTGATAAATACTGATAACTCTATATTTTTAAACTATATTAGATAGGAATACTCTATATTAGATAAATCCAATAGTGTTCCGTTAAATAGGAATTCTCTATATTAGATAGGAATATAGAGTATTAGAATGGCAACGAAAAATAAAATTATCACTAATATTATTCTTTTTTCTACTTCTCCCAACTACAGGATAACCTCGAGGGTGGTTGCAGGTTTACAAAAGGCTGGTATATTTCTGCACGCACAAAAAAAAATATATTTATACTTAAAACTTCAATTAAAAATGAAATAAGAATATTTTATTGATTCATTTCTAAATCGAATAGAGACACCGTTGAATTAAATTAATATCATCTATCAAAATCTAAGACAACGTCATATGTGTATTTCTTTGTCTTCATATACCATATTCTCTACCTACCCACTACCAATGTCTTACTCAATCCTATCCACTACCGATGTCTTACTCAATCTCTTATTTATTGGTTACCACAAAAGCAAAGCCAAAGTAGACTTTTGTTATGAATTACAAATCTATGGTATGATATTGTTTTATAAGCTCTCATATTCCTTACTTCTAAATCCATGATCATTACTGTAACGTGAGATTCCCTCCCAACATTTCAGGAAGGCTTTCTCTAATCTCTACCCAACCCATCTAACCGTGCTCAATATCTTAGTTGTTCTAGTTGTTCTATATCTGATAGCAACACCTTAGTTGTTCTATATCTGATAGGAGGAGTTCAAATATTCATCTAAGAACTAACTAGAATATTAGCTTCAAAATGTGACACAAACAACTAGATTTCATGAGACTAATTCGATGCAACCCATTAAATGTAAAGCATTTTAGAACTTAGTACATGCAAGTGCTAAATATTCAGAAGCATTAAGAATCAGTAATGCTTTTAAGCTATGCATACACCATAGCTGCAAGACCCACAATATGAACACAAACTCTTAAAGATATATGTCCAACATGATTATTCAGAAGCTCACACCTACCAAAAACTATACTATTTTGCTAATCAATCCAAAAACTACTCATTTGGAGGACGTTTTTTCCATTGCAGTTTCTATCATGCTACAGAGTTGTTCTTTGGAACACAATATTATAATTTATTCTTTAAATAAAAGTCAACAAACTCTTTAAAGAAACATTTCCAATAATAATAACAATAATCAATTTGTTAGTTTACATCAAAATAACTAGCTTTTAATTAGCTTTTACAAGTTTAAATCCCACATTTTACCTATACAATTCAAATACAAGTTACACATACCTAGTTCTCAAATCTGCGAGCCAAATGCCCCCAAGAATGTGAAGAATCATTGCCTTTGTGCCACTGGTAATGCTACAAGCATAACGTTAACATGTAAAGGAAACTTTTACTTACACAGAAAGGCATATCAGCAACATAAGTTCAATCAAATAGAAACAAACGGATTTCATTATATACTCATATATTTGCATTGAATGTCTCCACGCATTACATGTATGGATTGCCACATAATTACAAGTTGTTGATTAGAGGATACAGACAATACCCGGAATATGAAGAATCAAAATGAGGAGTGCTTCCAACGTGCAATTTCCCATTCGTCGTTGAACGTTTCTGTCAATATTCTTTCTGATTCGATGTTGTCCTCCAAAAATCTCGACATGTCACTTTACAAC